GGTGAGGTTGGCCCAGGATCGAGCATTGTTTCATTCTGCTGTGCATGGGGTCGCTATGAGTTGGTTCCGACTCGATGGCACCTGACAACAACAACAAATACCCTTCTTTGGTAAAGCACGAAGAAGCTCTTTAGGAAACTATGACTCACCAGTCCATTATGGGTTGCATGACTGATCAAGATGGCATCAGACTCAGCTAAGGGAACATTTTCACATAAGATAACATTTCTAAATCAGAAAACTAATGATAGCAGTCAGCTGTTGGACAGCGGTGCACAGAGTATGTACAAGGCGCTGCACGAAAGCACTAGTCAAGAGAATGTCTGGGAGTCCCTCGCTCCATCCGCCTAACTGTGTGCTCTGGTGCAGGGCCATGTTCTCACAGAGGAACACTGAGTGAATGTGTCAAGCTGTGTATCTGGGGTTGGGTTACTCCCATGGGGCCGGTTGAGCCTAGTGAGTGGTTCTGGGTAAGAGAAGGGTAGCAACCCTTCTTACCCAGAAATTAGCTGAGGCACCTACCTCACAACCAGGTGGACAGATGAGCGAGCTCAGGTGAGCCAACATTGTGGTCACTGAAGGAGATTCCCTGAACAAATTCTGAGCTGTTGCTAGGTATGAGCATTTGGAGACAACTTTTCTCACTCTTTATCATTGACCTTTTCCACCAACTATAAAGTAACCAGAACATCCTGAGATGACTTAATATTGCAGATACCATGACTTCTGGGTAGTTGTTCTGAAAGAGATCTTGACTTAATGTTCTAATTTCTGAGCCCCCAAATAACCATCCTGTATGAGAGAGAGTTACAGCTCAGGAGCAGACAAGGACTCCATGAGGCAGAGGACCTCCCTGCCCACCTTGCTTATTTGTATCAAGTGGGAAAAATACAAAACAATAGGCACCTGAGCTGGTGGAGAAGTGGGGGCATTTAATCTATTTCAATGGCAAATCAGTTTTTCTCAGCTATACCGTTGGCAAAACTTTCTCAGCAAATTTTCAAGCATAGCTTCATTTGGCTTCTCTTTCTTCTGTCCAGTGCATCGCTGTAGACATATACCAATTATTCGCTTTTATTTCTAAGTCTCTTTAGGAAGCACAGCAAATAATTTCATTAGATTTACAAAGAAGTTGGTCCTTTATATTAGCAAGCGCATGGTTGAGACTGATCGTGTGAGAGCCTCTGGTTCTCAAGTGTGATTTACAGTCTCTAAAAGGATATGTATCAATGCCACCAAGTGGCTGGTAGGAATGAATATGGTGGTGGTGGGGATGGGGAGGGGTGTGTGTCATGGGTTCTTAGAGCAAAGAGAAATTAAGAAACCACCTTTCACCTTGAGAATTGTCTATGTAAATGGAACCAAGAGAATAGAACTGCAGTTTCTAGTAGCAATCTGGGTATGATTTCTGAGATTTGGATTATAGTATGTTGTTGATATATGCCGTGGAGTTGGTTCCAACTCATAGCGACCCTGTACAGGGTTTCCGAGGCTGTAAATCTTTACGGTAGCAGAAAGCCTCATCTTTCTCCCACAGAACTGCTGGTAGTTTCGAACTGCTGACCTTGCGGTTCGCAGCCTGATTCGTAACCACTATGCTACCAGAGCTCCATATATATATTATAGTATAGTAGGTGGGATTTGTTTTGTTCCACAGTATTGTCAACAACAAACTTGGTTCCCTTGTCATTTCATTCACAATAATAAAACACTTGGTCTTGAATTCAAGATCTGGGGCCATTATCAGTTGAATCAGTTAGTTTTCGTCCTTAGCCAAAATATTTATTTACTGAAGAAAAATGTAGACAAGAGATTATCACTTCACTGGTATAAATGAAAGGCAACCAGGAAATTAAAAAGCTGATTCCAGTCGCTTCTTTAATGCAAATCTACTTGGAGTTTGTTGGATGGCAGCATGAAGGAGGCTTCCAGTCCTCTGCCTGAATAATAGAGTGACAACTGTCTCTTCCTGTGGACAGTATTTTTCTCTCACATCTGCACACCAAGACAAGAGATACGTGGACAGAACTCATACAAAGTGGTTCCTTTTTCCTTGCCCATCCACACTAGGATGTGAGGGGTCTACTTTGCTAACTCCACCGAAACAGTTACTAGGGAGAAAATAAGCATGAAGCTTCTAGCACTAAGCTTCAAAATGACTATAAACCATCCATTGCCAGGGAGTTGATTGCAGCGCTAAAGGACAAAGTAGAACTGTAGAACTGCTCCATAGGATTTCCAAGGCTGCAATCTTTACAAAAGCAGATTGCCACATCTTTCCCATGCAGAGCGGCTGGAGGTTCAAAACGCCAACCTTTGAGTCAGGAGCTGAGTGCTTAACCACTGCACCACTGAGGCTCTGGGAAAGTGACTTAGAGAACAGAAAAAGTACAACTGACTCTGGGAAGGAGTGGCTGGCAGCCCCACAGTGAAGCCCAGCAATGGAAATGTCTGCAGCAGCCTCTTGAGGCCAGTCCCCATTCCACAGCTGCAAAGTAAGAGGGTCTACGCCAAGGACAGCCGGAAACACTGTAGCCTAATAGGGGAGCTATGTCAGCGCTTCATACAGTCTGGGCATATAAACTCGTGGCTAAGCTTTTCTTTACTACCACATACTTTGAAAGCAGTTTTCTGTATCTGATTGCAACTTCAGAAACCCTTCAATTTAGCCAACCAGAATCTGAAACAAAGTAGTGAGAATGGAACTCCCATGGTGTGCCCTGCAGCATTAGAGTTTAAGGTGATCAGATAATTTACCATCCAACCTGGGATGCTTCAGAGTGAAAGGGGATGCTATCAATAATCACAGTGGGACAGCAAGCAAGAACCAGGACTCTCCCAGGCAACCGGTTAGTATCCTCAATCAACAACACAAGCTCTCTGTGCCTTAAGTGTAACTAGGAAGAAGGAGTGATTGCCAAAGGGCATACTCTGTATATGATCAACATTTTTTGGGAAATGAGGCAAAAACCCAAGAGACTGCTTTCGGCAAACTCTTAGAGGTTGGCAAGAAGCACTGCAGCTGACCCTCAGAGGCTGCTGACTACACAACCAGTGTGGACCAGATCAGAAAACTCTTGCTGGAGAAAGACACCATAGAGCAGATGGTTTCCTTCACAAACATCTCTTGCAATGTTCTTGGAGCTGAAGCTAGAAGGGTGGCTGTGTGGTTTTAACTGTCATTTAAGATGGCTCTTTCCTACCAAACCGCAGGCAGAGGCTTGGCTATAAGCTACACACATGCTTGATTTTTTGAACACTGGGTACCATTTAAAGGAGTTGCTGACAGACTAGACCTTGCAGGAATTGTATCTTCACATTCTCCTTGAGTAATAAAATCTACAGAGCTGGCCAAGACACTCTAGAGCCCAGCTCCATTTCCCGGGGAGGATTTCAGGCTGTCCCTGTCCTTCTTCCTCATGTTGCACTTGGACATTGTTTTTCTACACACCAAACAGTTCATGCATCAGTTTGCCAATAGGTTGAAACTACACTTAGCAGCCACATGGTTGCTCCATACATGATACACGATTAACATTTTTTGGGAAATGAGACCAAAAACAAACAAACAAAAAAATCCAAACCCCAATCCAGGCATGTTAAACCACACTTTCAGGAAATGGCTTTGGAACCATGATACTGGCCAGACAACCTCTTCGAGATCTGCCCTGAACTAAGACACCATACATACCATGCGCTCACCCATTCTTGGAGAAGTGAAAGAGGAAAGAAGAAACTTACACTACTATCATCCATTCTCTCGCGCCTTTTAGATTTGTGTGTCTCATAGTCTTCCATGAGGGTCTGCATCAGATTCTTGGGCCGCTGGGATCCGGCAGCCTCTTCGGGGGGTAAGTCAGGCTGCAAGCTGGGACCTTCGGTTGTGGGGGATGGAGGAGGTCTGACTTTCTCTATTTTCCCTGAAACAACACGAAGAGAACACCCTTTCTAAGCTTGTCTGCTCATTGACTGCTTTCAGAAAGAAGAGAAAACTGGCAGAAACCACCTCCGACACAGAGCAGTACCAGAATGATGGTTAGGTACAGATTATTTTAACTCGAGGATTAAAGCACTTAAGGGTAATGTCACAAATCCATTCAACCAAGACCTCAAAGAAACCAGTTCTAAAATGTGAATTAGATCGACACCTGCCAGGTACTTTGCAGGTATATGTCAGATAGACAAAGCAGATTCTAGGAACAGTTATTTTGAGACAAATATTCTATCACAGATCATAGAGGTAGAGGTGGCAGCAACTTGGAGCCTTCGAGACCCACTTCTTACAAGAAAGGAAACCTTAGGGCCTGCAAAGGTGAGGCTGTGCTGAGGTCACCAGAAGCCATTCAGGTCTCCTTTCTTCTAGATGAGAGGTAACCAGTTGTCATCTGACCAGCACAGCTGTTTGGTTTTTGTTTTGTTTTTTAACATTGCACCATGTTGTAAAACCTTATAATCCGAAAGAAGCCTGGTCTCCACAGGCCATCCTAGTCTTACATTAATTTACCTTACCTGTTAGGATCCTGCAAGCATTTGGGTTTGAACCCCTCAGACCTTAAGGAATGAACACCAACAAAGACAGCTTAGACGTTGTAGAAAATGTGCACTGGACTTACAAATGGTGAAAAGCTAGCTCTTAGAAATGCCCTCCAAGAATTCTTAGCATGAGAAGAGCTGGCTGATAGTTCATTACAGAGCATCCAGACGTAGACACACTAGAAAGAGAGGCCTAGTGATCTACTTCCAAAACAATCAATCCATGAAAGCCCTATAGATCACAACTGCAATATAGATCATAGTAAAGGCACAGGACTGAGCAGCGTTTCATTCTGGTGGGCATACAGTCACCATGAGTCCAGGGTCGACTGGATGCAAAGCTAACAACATAGTGACTCCAACTCCAAACCAAACCACCGAGCTGATTCCAACTTAGAGACCCCATAGGACTGAGTAGAATTGCTCCACAGTGTTTCCTTGGTATAAGTCTGTATGGCAGCAGATGGCTACTTCGTTCTCCTTTGGAATAGCTGGTCGGTTGAAACCACTCACCTTTGGGTTAAGCCAAGTGGCTTTAACCACTGTACAATCTGGGATCCTTATAGTGATCTAAGCACTGAGATGCATGTACTACAACCATCTGCATTCTACCCTCTTGGTAAACACTTACGGGGTAGATTTGATTGGAACAGAGACCCCAGACTGCAACTCCAGTGCAGAAATATTAACTTTTCCAACTATGTTGTTCGTGGATGCCACACTGAAGATGTGTAGTAAACATGGAATGGAGAGGAAAACAAAAAATGCATGGAGGTCTTCAAGTCTAAAAATTTTGGAAACCATCAAGAGAGGTCAAAGAGTAACTCAACCACAGCCAAACTTCTATCTTGGTCACTACCTGCTGTAGGTGGAATCACAAGTGAGCATGGGTTGGTGTTTCTGGGTGGGCTGTTGTAGCTTTCCTGGACAGGCTCCTTCTGATGGGGGCTTCTCACCCATCAGTGCCACTGAACTGATTTCAACTCATAGCCACTCTGTGTAGGGTTTCCAAGACTGTAAATCTGTATGGGAGCACACAGCCTTGTCTTTCTTCCAAGGAACAGCTGGCAGGCTTGGATTGCTGATCTTGCAGTTAGTTGTGCCACCAAGTTCCCTGATGGGAACTTCTAGGGGTCAGGAAATCTAGGTTTAATTTCTGACCTCCCATTAACTAGTTATGCAGCTGATTGCAAACAATCATCTAAGACTATGTGCACAGAGCACTTAATTCTCCAGCCTTCAATTTTTGATCTTTGAGGTCCCTTGTAATGCAAACATTTAGCTATTCTTATTAAATATATCTGATAAGACCAACACTTAATGATTAAAAAATTAAAAACAAACAAGCAACAAAACATACATCAAATTTGGGGATCATGTGGGAACTGGTTTTTAGCATTTAGCAGAGGGCACGTCATCTGCACAAATCACAATTATACTGGTAAATTTTGTAAAACTCACTGCTTTGACCTGAATTACTCAGACAAAAATTTTAAGTCTTTGAATTTTAAGAGTTATATGATTAATATTTCAAAATCCCTAAATTTACCAGAAATGTCTTTTTTATCATGGAAATTAGAGACTACTGAAATATCCCATTATTATTATGGAGTCCTGGTGTGGCACTATAGGGTAAGCACTAGACCTCAAGGTCGATGTGAACCACAAGGTCACGTCAGAACCGACTCCACAGCACTTAGCAACAACAATAACAACACTATGCCCCATTGCCCAGATTAAACATCTACCAAGAGTTTACCACACTTGCTTCATCTATCTGGCCTATCTGACAGCCCATTTATTTTAATACAATCCTGGACTTCAGGTCATTTCACCCCTATATACATACTATGTTATTTCTAAAAATTCCCATTGTTTTTGAAATGAAGGTTTTGAAAAATAATGTCACATAGTGGCTCAGGCAAGTTCTAGAGCTACCCTGCTTGGGTTTGATTCCACTACACAGCAGCCAAAGAACTTGAGGCAAGCTACTTACTGCTTTTGTATTTCAAGTTCACATCTGTAAAATGGGTATGATAATAGTTATTATATATACATATATAGTTACTATCGGGGAGCACTGTGGCTCTGTAGGATAATCACTGGATTTGGAACCCCAAGGTTGGCGGTTTGAACTAAACCAGCCGATCCTCAGAAGAAAGATGAGGCTTTCTGCTCCCACAAAGATTAACAGCCTCAGTTTCTACAACAGGGTTGCTATGAGTCAGAACTGATGCAAAGGCACTTAACAACAACCTGTTACAGGGACTAAGTTAATATTTAGAAGAATAACATACAATGAATCTAGCTATTATTTATTTGAAATCTCAAAGAATATAATTTGACCATAAGTGAAAATGAACAATTTCATGGGTATTGCACATCAAAGTTTACATTTACTCGATTTCTGTTGTTAAGTACCATCAAGTCGGTTCCAGCTCACAATGACCCTGTATAAGAGTTCTGAGAAATGGCTGGTGGGTTTGAACCACTGACCTTGTGGTTAGCAGTCCAGTGCTTACCCTATAGCACTACACTAGGACTCTAGAACTAGCTAAATTGCCAGCTATGTTTATTAGTAACATTTGGAGGTAAGTCTGGAGCCCAAACCCAGGGTTCTTTATGGATAAATTATTTGATGAGATGTATACTGAAAAGAAAGGAGCTCTGGTAGTGTAGTGGTTACAAATCGGGCTGTGAACCTCAAGGTCAGCAGTTCTAAACTACCAGCTGCTCCACGGGAGAAAGATGAGACTTTCTGCTCCAGTAAAGATTTACAGCCTCGGAAACCCTGTTCAGGGTCGCTATGGGTCAGAACCTGCTCCACGGCACATAACAACAACATACTGAAAAGAAGGAGTCCTGGTGTGGCGCTGTGTGTTAATGCGACGGACTGCAAAGCCATTTGAACTGCAAGGTCAGCAGTTCAAGCTCACCAACTGCTCCTCGGAAAACCCTATACAGGGTCAGAATGCACTCTACGGCACTTAACAACAACAACATACTGAAAAGAAGGCACTCTGGTAGCATAGTGGTTTCAAGTCATGCTGCCAATCTCAAGGACAGCAGTTCGAAACTACCAGCAGTTCCGTGGGAGAAAGATGAGGTGTTCTAATGCTCCCATTAAGATTTACAGCTCCAGTAAAGGTTTACTATGAGTTGGAACTGACTCAACGGTACTCAACAACAACAACAACAACACTGAAAAGAGATGTGTGGTCAACCACTAAACATTTCATGTATTTCCTGCCTGATACTGTTTTTTCCATACTTCCATGGAACAAGTTTTACTGGTTACAGCCACCAGAGGTCGCATAAGTAACAGGAAAGAAAAGTTGACTTGGCCGTCCTGGAGCAGCCTCTTGGGTACCAAGGCCCATACCAGAGCCTGAGGACGGGCTGTTCCAGGCCCCCAGATTAAGGAGGACTGCTGGCCACCAGTCTGGTCAAGTATCAGGGAAAACTGGCTTAGCTGGGTTTCTTTGATGGGCCCTGCAACCTCTGACCAGCCTTCCCTCAGTAGAGTTCAAACCATTCACCAGAATTCAGCAGGGCATCTCATGAAAATGACCCAGATGCAATAAAGCTGGGGAGGGACCTGCACCACACTTGGCATCTTTCTCAGAGAGAGGTTCAGAGTTTTCAGAGAGGTTCAGGTTTGTTAGCTATCTCCCATGCCAAGTGAAGTGAAAAACAAAATGAAACAAAAGATGCACGCAATGCCTTTCCCTCAACCATGCACACCAGAGGTCACACCACAGTTTGGACCCCGGATTACTAACGAGTTCTGTTCCTACACCTTTTCTGTAAGTCAAATTTGTACATACATCTAACAATTCGGTATGTCAGTCAAATGCTTGTCAGCATATAGTGTACCTTTTGGTGCACACATACAAAAATATGAAAAGAAATACTTTCACACTAAACATCTTTAGCATAATAATAGTAATATATTATTGTTAGGTGCCATTGTTATTATGTTCCAACTCATAACAATTCTTTATAGGATTTCCAAAAAGCAGCTTATGGATTTGAACCACTGACCCAGCCATCCAAACTGACCTTGCGGTCTAGTGCATTATCCTACAGCACCACACCAGGACTCCGTAATAGTAAAAATAATAATGTCATGTGCATCACAAAGAAGAACTCTTTCATTGTTATTAATCATTGTGTGAACCTCCAAATTTTAATATAATAGGCTTCACTGAGGGCTGATTTGTAACTACAAGTTGTGTGCACTTTAGACATTCATAACCCAGGGACTTCCTGTACACATACGTGATGCAGACAGAGCCTAAGTTGTGTGTACACATACGTGATGCAGAGCTTGAGTTGTGTGTACACATACATGATGCAGAGCCTGAGCTGTGTGCCACAGCCTTCT